TTCACAAGAAAATACGAGTTATCAGACGTATTAAAAACCCCGGATGTGCGCTGTAGGGATTGGTATTTGAAAAAAAATCAGAATTATTAAAATATTTTTCTTATTAACTAAAGGAGAAAGCTTTTATATATTTGTTAATATAGTTAATTTATGCTGTTCTACTACGTACAGACACACATATATACATATTATACATACATAAAATTGGAAATTTAATTATAATGTGGTTATTAATGTTTCATGATGTGTGAATAACGATAATGATTGTGATATTTTTTTTTCATTCTGAAAGGCCTAAAGGGTTTCCCCGGTAAAGGCATCAGAATCCGTGGTCCACCCGGTGAACGTGGATTGCCAGGATCGCCAGGATTCCCGGGTCCACACGGATGGCCCGGTATTCCAGGTCTCAAAGGTTTAAAAGGACTGAGGGGTGATGATTGTGGCGTTTGTGCACCAGGTACGTTCAATTAATGGAACGCGAAACAAAAGCACTTTTTCAACGTACAGTTCAAACATGGAAACACGTAATCAAATAGAAAATGCACTAAATAGAGTTTTTTTGTTTCTATATTAGCGCGAAAAAGTATTTCCCATTCAAACGAACATGTAAAACACAATTTCATAGATTAGTTTGAATAGCAATTGTTTATAAACGAGGTGAAGGACAAATTCCAATAGAACAGGAAATCAAATTTGACCAACGAAAACCTAACGACGTATTAATTAATGATAGTCTTCAAAATTATTCAAGATCATGAATAAAATATTATACATTAATAGACTGACGAAGATAGCAAGAACGAATAACAATTCAAATCTGTTATTCTGTTGAAAGTTAACTGGAACATGTTAAAACGTATTTCAATGATATAACGTTTCCCAAGTATTACTTTGAAAATCTGTGGTCTGATAAATTACATTATCCTATAGTTTCGCTCCATTTGCGACTGACGAGACAATATCAGTTTACTAGCGCGACTAATGATGATGACATTTCTATGTAAAAACATTGAGCAGTTATCACTGCAACTTTGTCCTACGTTGGACTTATGACGTTACCATACTAAAACCAATCGAACAAATTCAACTAATTATAACTTACACACAAATTTCATTAACATTTTATTTGTATATTGGGCAAAACGTTGTTTAACCGCTTGTCCTATGATTTCTTTCACAACTCTGCCTGATATATCTACGTTATCATTACTAATTTAGTAAAGAAAGAAAAGAATTCGTTGTTTATTCTGCGTCTACGTGTATTCTAAAGGTTAAAGACTGATAATAGCCAAATAACATTTCATTTATATGAAAAATAAATAAATAACATTTAGTTTCGTCGAATTCGGTTGAAAATATTTATCACGAGCCTGACTCGATATTATAGCAGAAGGGGTTAATCACTGAATGAAAGTTGAAACGATTAAAAAGTAATTGAATAAAAATTTGATCAAATATGTGTTTCTAATTATTTTTTAACATACTCTCTTTTCATATTATCAGAGTTTACAAAGAATTTTGTACCTGGATTTTGAAAGTTTATTATCCTTCGGAAATTGAATAACCGATGCATAACTAATAAATATTTCCATGCATGCGGAAGAAAGTATTTGTGTTTTATATCCAAAATATGTACGTTGAATTTATTCAATGTTGCTTTCATTGTTATTCGGATAAGTTACCCTAATAAATAAAGATATTTTCTTTCACTTTTTGTCCATTTTTTGATGTTTTCTGATTTTGTATATTTTAATGTAATAAATAATATTCTTTTTAGTTATTAAAAGATTTACTCGTTTCTTCATTTTTTTCTGCGTCAGAAATCTCTCCTTTTTATAGCTTCCGAATATGTTGTATAATAATTTCAAAAGCCAAAACATTACTTTTCCCAGTTTTTGTTTTTTGGGCTCAACCGCATTGGCTTCCGAGGAACTCGGATAACGATGGTTATCCATAACCCGATATCATTTCATTCCATTCAATATTTCTCGTTATGTTATAAATATAATGCACTCAAAATTGTATTAAAACAAATATAAAATACAAATAGTATTAAATTCCATTAATTTAAAGACAAAACGGTAACATTGATATTTCATGAGCATCACTTTAAATTGTTTGGTTTTTAATAAATAATAACACTTTTATTAAATACACAAATAAGCTATAATATAAACAATCACAATAACAAAATCGTTATCCATATACTTTCCTAACATAAATTTCAAAAATTTATTTTCACCATCATGTTGTCTATAAAAATTAGTAAAATCTTTTCCTTTTTCGTTTTTTTTCTAAAGTGTGCCATTCATGTGAAAAATGCTGAAAACTAATTAGTGAGAACTCCCTCTTGTATTAGCCACTCACAAGCCAAATCGTCCACTTTTTGAATTTTTCAAGATTTTAGAAATGATAGAAACATTTTTAACTGCAGCATTAAATCAAATTGATTTCCGAAGCCAAAGCGATTAAAGTCCATAACTTAATGCGATGAGCGCAATCCGAGCTTAAGCAAACAATGCGTTTCCGTTTTTCTCGATTGTATTGTATTCTTATTTATTATTATGCTATAATTGAAAATAACTTTAGATGCTGCATGTTCAGTAAATAATTTTATGCATTGACACATTGAGAATGTAGAATCACACCTTTTGTGAAATAAAACCTTACACTTTTATATAAATACTTATTCAATGCAGCATTTTATCTTTTACAAAATATATCGTAGTATTTATATTTTAAATAGTTAGTTTAAAAGGTATTTTACTTAAAATTTATTTAAATTATTTCTGCGAATTAACAGATGTTATTAAATTTAGCGCCAAATAGCGTTTCATTATTTTAGTCACTCTTTATTTAACATACAAATTAAATCTCATTTATATTTCGAATAAAACATGTTGCTTAATTATTGAGTATCATTAACATTATTAACCTAAAATTATAACCTAAAAAGGAAGCCAATAATGTTGCATTCGCTACTCATAGTGACCACAGGATTAAACCTCGTGCGTCACTCTTGTTTCGTGTCTTGATATGTTTTTCTTAAACCATATCGATTAGTCGACGCAAAAGTATACAACTCTATTTAAAAAATTATACAATTCTCGGCGTAGCATTGGATGAAAAAAATATTTGACATCATTTCCAAAATAGACAGCAGCCCAAAGCCTTTAACATTAGAACTATTAGATAGGTCAAACTGACCCATTTTTAATTTGTTCTGTTATAATTAGTGCACAAATATTAAGAAGATATACTTTTTGAGAAACAACTAAAACAATTCATTTAATAATACGTAAACTGAAATATAAATTAATAAATTATTTAAAATTATAATTATAGTATAAAATATAAGAATTTTAAAATGAGTCAATCTAACTGATCGATAATTCTAATATTTATTTCGCCTTCGCCTTTTTTACAATTTCGAATTGTTTTAAAAATAGAAGTGGTCCCAATACTATGAAACCCCCCACATTCCCCGAAACTAATGGAATTGCAATGTTTCCTATTAATACCTATATGCTATGAAGCAAGTCCAGAATTTTCGGTTCGGACAATTGTTTTGAAAGATAAGACATCTTGAAATATTGTAAAATATAACGTCCAACAATTAATTTATCTCCTTCTTCATAGTAAATAAGTATTTAATACGTTAATAAGTAAACATGAAGTAAAAATAATTATAAGGTATTTCATATTTCATAAGAGAAAATGAGTTACGAACATACGGTCACAAATGTTTCGTTACAAAGATGTCTATAACAAAAATTTCGAACTAGTAAATAACTTTTCTCCCTTGAGTATCCATGGTAACATTGAAGACATTAAACTGTACCATTCAGTTAAGTAGCTTCATACCAATATGTCAAAATCGAGTTGACATTTGAAAGGTAACAGACTCGATCTATCAATACTTTCCATTATACAGGGTGTACTGTAACATGTGGAACCTACTTCAGAAGCGAATAAAGTACACGAAAGTAGTCAATAAAGTTGATCTGAACATATGTCTCATTAAACCTTATTTGAAAGTTATAACCATCTTTGAATTGTAATAAAGCTAGTTATGGTACACCTTATATAATTACAAAAACGGCCATTTTAAACAAGAATACAACTAACCGATCGAATCGATCGTAATGCTATGTTTATACAACATCGTGTCTACATTTTTAGTCATATAATGCGCTGATACCATTTGTTGCTATAAAAATTCTATACATATTGATTGTGAAATAATCATTATTATTTACATAGGATTGCCTGGTGAAAAGGGTGAACGCGGTGACGCTGGACTGGACGGGCATCACGGAGCGCCAGGGTACCCTGGAATGCATGGACAACGTGGAGAAAAAGGAAGGCAAGGAAAACCTGGTATTGTTGGACCTAGAGGATTGGAAGGTGATAGCGGAAGACCAGGAATAGCTGGATCTCAAGGACCAAAAGGCGAAAAAGGACGACTTATAGTGCCGGGAAATTTAATCGGACAACCTGGCGATTTTGGTGACAAAGGTTTTCCCGGTCCGGAAGGACCAAGGGGTTTAAAAGGCAAAGTTGGCATAAGTGGTGATGCGGGCCCGCCAGGTCCCAAGGGAGAAAAGGTTAGAAAATATCTTCAAACGTATAATACTTATGCAATTAATACATTGCGGACTAAACATTCAATTTCCAGGCATACTTACTACTAGATTTACGAACATTTATTGTACAGTTTATTTTATTGGTCTTAGAAAACCTGATATTTGTTGATCTAGATTTTGGAAATTAGAAGTTTGAACATTAGACAATTAAAATACACATTTAAGTTATTGCATCAATCGAAATCGACATAAGCATTTACTAAATAATGTTTGTAAAATTTAACATGCGTCAAATTTACACGTTCCGTAAACTTAGTGTTAACAAACATCTATTTCCTTCGCACAAAATATTTTGAAGTTACTTATGATTTATCTAAAGTTGGGAATCATTGTGTTATTAATAAAAAGTACTAAAACTAATATAAAGAATTCTTAACACCAGAACTATCCATCATTTATTACAGTTGATACGTAATCTTCATTTGCAAAAGTTATACCTAACAGTAAATCTTTTTCAGCGTTTTCAGATATTCATTATAGTATTCAAGTGGAACTATTTGTGTCTAAAATCTTTCCAAATATTCAAGGTTTTTGAGATATCAATAATTGCGAAATTATACAAATAAAAGGATATCAATAAGAAATTCGTAATATAATACATTATATTTTTCATAGATATTAATTTCATACTATTATTATAAAACTTTTCAATTTGTGCAAAAGACATCGTACAATATTCTACCTATGCACATTTTAAAGGGTGAAACTTTATTTCTTTTATTTTAATGTTAATAGTCTCTTTTTAATACTGTGTTGATGTTATTTAATGGTACTTCTATAACGATAATTCTTTATTTCTAGGGTGATCATGGTATGCCAGGAATCCCTGGCAGAGACGGTCTTCCAGGTTTGGACGGCATACCTGGTGAAAAAGGTGACGACGCGCAGATACCAATGGAATATTTGAAAGGAGATCCAGGATTCCCGGGCATTCCGGGATTTAAGGGCGCGCTAGGTGAAAAAGGAAGCAAAGGTCTACCCGGAGCAGCCTCTTCGGAACACGATATAGACATAACGGGAGACAAAGGATTCAAAGGAGAAGTCGGTTTCCCAGGTGAGAAGTTACGGAAGCTGTAACTACTTGTTTTAAATAGGATGACTAAATGGGTCGTGTAACACTTTAAAAATCTAATTTTCAAACTCAAGTGGCAGAAACTCTGAAAATGGAATCAAAAGAAAGTGTCATTTTGGCAAAAATGTATCTACGCAACAGAAATCAAACTCTTCTATTGCATTTCTATTCTTGTATCTAACACTCAGTTTATAATAATATTACTTAACGAAAGATTCTTGTATTGTAGCAGTAAAGTCGACTAATTTTTCGGTATTATTTTTGTTGGGAAAATTATTAACTTTAAACAAATTTTTTTATTTGTTTTGTTATCACGATAGAATCAAATCGTATACAATCTTTATCAACATTTTCGGCAATGTGGCAATTATTGATGTGTACTGCAGCACTTACAATAATGATCAGAATCTAAAAAACACAAATTTGTTGAAGTTATATAAAGCTTATGCTGAGACTATACTAATTTCTGACAAAAGTTACAAAACAATAGACATGATTTTTCCTTTTTCATATAAAGAAAAAAATTGATGTAAATCATAAAAATTTCAAATATTACCAATATCATAATCAAAACTATTGTAAATGTTTATATAATCGTACTATAGACTACAAAACGACATCAATTTTTCGTGTGTGTGAAATTTTGAAGAAATTATGTTCAGATATCATAGCAGTCGTTTAAAACGAAACATTATAATTAACATGCACCAACTTTGTTCATATAAAAAATTTCTAAGTACAAATTTCACTGTATATTCTTAAAATTCGGATAAATATGGATCTAAAATGTTTACTTTGTAATTTTGGTACTTTTTAATGTAGTTCCAATTTAAATATTATCAGAAAATGACTTACACAAATAAGAATAGCTCCTTAAATCTGATACGCTGTATGTTAAAATTTATGCAGATTTCTAATACTGGATGTTTAAGTACTTATACAAATTTATTAAAACATTGCGGTATTACAAGGGAAAAGAAAGTTCGAAAAGTTACGGATAAAATGTTTGTAGGAGAGGACGGTGCAAAAGGTGCTCAAGGACGAGCAGGTGACGAGGGATACGCGGGCCCTCCAGGATATCCTGGATCTCCGGGTATATCACTTCAAGGTTCCAAAGGATTAAAGGGATACCCCGGAATGCCAGGAGATCAAGGACCACGTGGTACACCAGGTACACCAGGATCACAAGGACCTGTTGGTTTTCCAGTAAGTACAGTAAAAATTGAAATCTTTCATACAGTCTATTTTAATCTTTAAAGACTATCATGGGTAATATTTTACTTTATATTTAGATAGCAGAAATGTGGTATCCTTTGATAACAGTTTTAAAGATTAAAAAGAATGCTTTAATAATAGCAGGTTATTTTACAGTTATAGTTTTATTTTTGAATTCAAAATATTTATACATTGAGTTGTGTTGATCATCTAGTAAAACTATAGAAATAAGAAGGACTATTGAACATGTCCTATTATTTGTGCTCAAACATACATAAGTATTATATATCATCATATGTAGTCTATACGTATCCGTGGATATTAATAATAACAAATACCTATACAAGAACAGAAATTAATTATACTATTAATGCTTATGTGCAACATATATGAATAAACTTTATACACAAAAAAGTTTTGTATATTTGCTAAGCCAGACATAATCTACTTATAAAAAAATTATTATCGATATGTTGCGATATTATACAATTTTCAAGAATAAAATTGATCTTACTCTTAAAACTTCGCTTGCCCTGTATAATATACGACATCATAGTGTGTAGTATATGGAATAACCAGAAAAAAGCACACACGAAAAATGCGTACATGTATAAAATCGCACGGAAAAAACAACACATGGAAAAAGCGCACAATGTAAAGTACGCACAGATCATAAACCACACATATATGAATTGTGCAATTGTAAAGCAAAAGCGAAGGCGGCGGAGGAGTTCCGTATATTTACTGAATTATTTTAAAAAAGTACTTAGTGTTAAACGAATTATTTATTGTTCTGCAATTCTTCTTGAATGCGACAGTTTTCTCCGAACAATATAACTCCAAAGTAATTTTTATTATTATTGCAAGTTTTACATAGGCAATAGAATTTTTGTTATTTCGTGGAAATTTATTTTTAATCTGAACAGTCAAAAGACAGTGAAACGTTTTAACGATAAAATCTTAAAAAGTTCAAAAACTGGAGTTAGTCGATTTGGCAAATGAGCCATGCATATCTTACTTCCTCGTATTCTGTCTCATTTGCGATATTGGTTTACGCAAATCGATAACGAGGCGTCAACATTCATCGCGAGTGACCGTATCCCTTCGCCGAACTTGCCTTTCCTGTTCGTAGGACATGTGAAGAAACGTCGTCTGTGAACTGTACATATGCGTATTTTCGGGTGCACTTTTTCATGTAACTGAATGTAATATAACGTGTAAATTATAACGTGTATATAACGTGTATAGTTTCTTCACTATAGCTTACGTGATCTAATTTCACTGATTTACGATTCAGGGTCGCGTAGGTAACAAAGGTGATCGGGGTGATATAGGCACAAATCAGACGTACGGTGACATCGGAGAACAAGGTGCATGGGGTCAAAAGGGAGAGATCGGAGATCCTGGTCCAATGGGCTTTCGCGGTAGGCCCGGAATAGAGGGATCGAAAGGCGTCATAGGTAGCAAAGGAGCTCCCGGTTTAGCCGGTTTGCCTGGTCTTCAGGTAATATTACATGATCGTGAACAGAAATGAGAGAAAAGATTTTGTTTTCGGATTTAACGGATCAAATCGGTCGACAGGGAGCTAAAGGTCAGCGAGGAGACAGTGTACAAGGTACTCGAGGTATCCCGGGAATACCTGGTCAACCTGGAATGCCTGGCAGAATTGGAGAAATTGGTATTCGAGGTATGAAAATTTAAATTTAATATAGGACTGCTTATTTTGGAAGTGTTGTAAACCCAGTGTTTGAACAAATTATCCGTTTGTCTTAGTCAATTGAAATTTCCTTGCTAAATAGAATTACATTATTATATATTTTGAAATAGTGTGAGTTTGTTCATAAACCTGAATAATAATAATAGTCTAGTTTATTCTCCAAGGAACACTTTCTATAATAGGTTTAACATCTGCTTAAACGCATAAAATTCTGAATAAATTAAGTAAATATATCTGTGTGGATTTTTCAATCAATGGTAATGCAAACATTTCAATATCTCAAAATAAAAGAAAATGGACTTACACCACTATTAAAATATTCTGACCATATTTCATTCTTTTCTTCTTCTTTTTCTTCTTTTTCTTCTCCTACGTTTTACATCAAATCAACACTGGGGTTATTATCACCGTTGCTTGGTTGAGTCAGGTAAATTTGATTAAGTACAATATATTGATTTCTTTGGGGCTACTTATTGTATTTCTAATATGATGTTGTGACGTTAAGACTCTTCTATGATATGGTAAGTATATGGTTAATGGGTAGTGATTGATTTAGACATAGGTTACAGAGAGATCGATTTGTTTCTCTGTTTATATTATGTATTCGTTCTCCACTTTTAATGAGATACCTCGCTAATCAACGACTAAATGATTTTCGCTGGTGTTCAAAGTAAAAACAAATAGCCACGAAAAATAATTCCTTTCTAAAAATCATCTTCAAATTATCAATATCTTTTTACGAATTATGAAAACATCTAGTTTTTATGATTCTTCAGGGATCAGTAAGATAAATTTAACGATCATTACGATTTTTAGTTTTGAAAACTGCTTTATTTTTCTCGATTTTAGTTTTAATCAATTAGTTCACAATAGTAGACATCGAATACAAACTTGTTCTTTTTATTAAGGGTTTTATTAAAATGAAAATATAATGAAGGCATTGTGTTAGATTATTTTCATTCTAATCACACTTTTCCTCTTGTACTAAAATGATATAATAATGAATATCATAAATAATTTATTTAATAATATTTATTTGTGTAGATATTTGTTCTCAGCAGAATGTCAACATGATTTTTCTTATTACGTATATTTTACTTTCATTATTTTCTTTCATATTCCTGACAATTACATTGAAAATCATGGGTACTTCCAGAATACAGTTTTAAAGAATTATTTATAATTGGAGTTTACTTTTACATTTAAGAAACAACAATTATTGAAAATTGTTTACATTTTACTACTCAACGAAAAAAGGATATTTGATATGACATGAACAGTCATCTTCGTAACTCGACAAATAATAATAATTTAATTACAATTAAATAACTAATTATAAAAAAATAACAATTTACGAAACTATAGAAAATTTTATGCACTAAAAAGGAATACATTTTGAAATATCAACAATAAAAGAAGATTAAAATGTTTCTCTCTTAAAAATTCCTTCATTCAATTTGAAATTAAATTGCGAAAAATATGTCATATTTTATTATATGTTAAAACCTTTAAAATATTTTAAATTAGTTATACAGAAGATAATAAACAATTCTAAATTAAAAACATTAGAATACACAAAATTATCTTCTAAACTGTGTTCTTTCAAAATGAATAGTAAGTACTTAATAGAAATAATAATAGCCCTGAAATCTTTGAAACATCTCCAGGCCTAAAATACATTCGAAACCAGTGATTTCTTCAAACTTCTTTTTATTTTTCGCCATTCTAGTGCTGTGCAACTTAATCCGAGTACACGAAGCACCCTATATAAAATCGATAGACTCACGAAGAGTAATGTATAAATATACCTAATTAATGTACATTGCTCTTATTCTATACTGTAAAAGTTTTTTAAGAATATAAATATAAATATAAATATATATATAAATATAAATATAAATATAAATATAAATATAAATATAAATATATATATAAATATAAATATATATATAAATATAAATATAAATATAAATATAAATATAAATATAAATATATATATAAATATAAATATAAATATAAATATAAATATAAATATAAATATAAATATAAAAATATTTATTAATAAAGATTGTGCGAAAAATATAAAGGAAATAAAAAACTCCTGAACCATTTTCACTCCTGTATCGAACGTAACTCGACATCAGCTTATTCATAGATACTCCCGTATCAAATCAAACTCGATATTTTAAAATTGTATTGTACTATTTTCAATATAACCAGTAACGAACATTATTAACATTGCTTCCTATCCAACAATCCTTTAAAGTACACTTCAAATAAAACGCTTGCAGTAATACAAGGTTATTGAAAAGAAAATATAACCAAAACTCACAATGCAAAGAGGTAAAGTACAATAACAACATACAAGTTTGCAGGAATACTGAACACAGTTTTTATCGTTTCATCAACTTCTTTGATATTTTCAGGACCCGATGGGCCACCTGGATTCGATGGAATGAAGGGTTTGAAAGGAGAAGTCGGTTTCATTGGACGCAGAGGCGACGATGGTGAAGCTGGTCCAGTAGGATACCCGGGAAGAGATGGCATGCCAGGCCCACCAGGTCCTCCAGGTATTGATGGTGATCTTGGTGAATTCGGTGAACCTGGTCCTCCTGGCTGGCCTGGACAAGAAGGACTTCCAGGACTGCCTGGCAACAAAGGAGAGTCTGGAGACACTGGACCATCGGGTATACCCGGTATTATGGGTTTACCCGGATTTAAAGGCGCGTTTGGTGACATTGGTCCAGATGGACCTGATGGACCTCCAGGTGAAAACGCTTTTAGCGGACCACAAGGTGATATTGGTGAACCTGGTTTTATGGGAGAAATTGGAGCTCCCGGAATATCTGGCGTTGATGGTCGACCTGGTTTACCCGGTGAACCAGGCTTTGCTCTCGATGGTTTCAATGGTCCGCAGGGACAAAAAGGTGAGCCAGGTTACGATGGATTCCCCGGATTGCCCGGACCAAAGGTATGCATAAAGTGTAGCATGTGAAGAATAATTTTCACATTATTAACAGGTTGTAAAATAAAAAATGTTTTTGTTTTAGTCACTGTTATTGGAACTGTATTTTTTTTAAATAGTTTCTTTCCTGAAACTACTTTATTCATATATCACTATACGTAATCGACGCTTTTCTTATATCTCTGTGCCCACCTCTCTATGCATTGGCCAGATATGTTTCTTGAAAACGGTCTCAATTCTAATCCTTAACGGACTCCGGAAATATTTCAGTTTACTTATTGACAAAAAATACCGTCACATAGATAATAAGCGGAAACAAATCCACAAAAGTAACCTAACACAAGACTTAACATGTTAATTGTAAATATTACAACAATAACAGTGATAAAGATAATAAAAAGATTTTTGCCATCACATACGCGGTATTGAACCCAATAAGTAAAAGTGCCATGCTGCTTATATGGCGGCATTGCTTCGTTAAGGGTTAAATGTTTTGTTATAACCATTTTACTTGTTTACAAAATATGCGCGTGGGCACTACATATTCTTCAAAACATTATCACTTTAAAATGGAAATTTCAACATTTAACTAATATTTTTCATTCAGAAACTACTTATACTTTAATAATGATATTCGTATTTTTATGTTATCGATGATACAAGAATATAGATTAAATTGAATTTCTCATTCTAAGATGTACGATCCACCATCATATTTCGTATTTAATTTTTTTTATTCTTTTTAATATATAACATTAATCAGTTCTGTCGATTTCTGATTATTCATTAAATTACTGTTTAAACTGAACATTTTGTATGCAGGGAGAAATTGGTGATATGGGACCGGATGGTTTCAAAGGCCCAATGGGAGACTGGGGATTCCAGGGAAGACCTGGAGCACCTGGTATCCATGGTCTAAATGGTGTAAAAGGTGGACGTGGTCCATCTGGACCGCCCGGTCCAGCAGGCTTTAGGGGCAAACCGGGACTGGCTGGTGATCCAGGACAAATGGGTTTACCAGGTATGTATAGAATATAACATTATATAATTTGTATTTGATAACCTTATTTTTGTATGAGGATGAACTAAAAAGTTTTGTCTACGCTTAAATAAAAAATGAAGAGTACTACGTTTATGAAATAAGAACAAAAAGAAACTTTTATACTTTATTTTTAAAGCTACACATTTATTTGTCCGCCTATTGCAATACCTTTCCGTTAACGCTACATTCAATTTTATTTTATATTTTATAGTCCATTCGTGGCCGATTTTTTCACAGCAGAGTTCACCTTTTCATCAGAGTCTCACTGTACTCACATCGATATACTCGTCACTATAAATAATTTATATTCAGCTTTGCATTTCAATAGCAGAAATTTTCTCTACGGATAAAGATTCAATAACAATTCGTTGTTTGAACTTCCGGATGTGTGTTTATATCAGCGTACGCTAACTAGAAATAGTAAGGGTATATTCTAGTGCAACGGGTACTTTCTTTTACGCTTAGTTACCAATTATGTATGAAAATTCGATAAAAATCCTTGTAGAATGATTATAAATTTTTTTATTGAATAATATTTAAAAATGGCTGTCATAAAACACACCAATGTTGAGTAGGAGAAAAATAGGTTGCCATGATTTCAGCTGATTTCTGCTTATCTCGGACAAAAAAATCTAATTGATTCTCAAATAGTATGAATGTACATATTTAGCTATCGAGAAGAAAGAAATATATTGAAAATTGAAGAAATGGCGGTGCTTAGAATTCGAAGTTTCTCTTTTTCCATACTTTTTTGTTTTTAGGTAACTGTAGAAATAAAATAAAAATATATTTTGGCATGATTGAACTATCGACAATAGCTGCACACGTGGTGATGTCACATTGAAAATTTCACTTCAATTAGTGCGATAGTCTTTGAGCCATCGTGACACACAATTTGAAGAATGTAGTTTCCAGAGATGCGAATTTAAAGTTTTAATGACTTGTAGACAAGTTATGACCACACCGCACAAAAGTATCTTTAACTTCGTTATTTTTCGAATATCGCTATAAAATTTTAAAAGCACATTTTTAAAGAATTATATTTTCGATATATCAAGTAAAAAAAGAATTATTGATATATCACACAAGAATACTTCCTTAAAGCACCTGCATATGCTGGGGGTGCTGCAATGAAGAAGAGATACAGTGGATATTGTCTTACTAGACGGAATTAGATTTGTCCAGATTTTCCTACTGTCACTAGAGGTATCACAATGTAGACAAAACTTTGCAGTCCACACTCGTAGAATCTACCTATTACTGGCAAGATATAGTGACATAAGTAAAGATAGTGAGATGTCAAGTGGATTAATTAGTTAAATAATTTTTGTTCAACACATTCATTACGAATATAACTGATCGATCCCATCAACACCGACAAAGGAACTTAGTTCTCATTGTAGTATCAGTGAGACCAATCATTCCCGCGTATTGTATTATACTAATTTATTATACTAATATTCAGTAGTTTGCATTTAACTAAAAAGCCTTTGACACCGGATATACATCCAGTCAGATTAGTTAAGAACGAATTCATTAACTAATTAACTGCATTTGTCAAGTTTCACATCATCTTAAAAACTAAAATATTATCTACTAATTTGTTCAGCAATGAATTATTTATCCTTTTAAATAAGGACATAATTCTTCGTTAGTTTGCCTTAGTTTTTCATTAAAATATATCATAGATATTTACATTGCTCTATGTTTGACATATACTCGTTATTGCATCATTTCGTTACGCACCCCATGAAAGACTTATAAACTTTGCAATTTATAACTATATTCCATAGTTAATAGGTTAATGTGATTTTTGTTTAGGAATGCCCGGTGAAGTAGGTCCCCGAGGTATGCCTGGTTTGATGGGTTCACCCGGACAGAAGGGGTACACGGGTGAACCAGGCTTCCCATCATTCGCTGAAGCAGAAAAAGGTGACTTTGGAAATCCTGGTCTTGATGGCCTTCAAGGTCCAAAAGGAGAGACAGGTGACGAAGGATACATAGGAGTATCTGGTCGAAAGGTAATGAACTAATGGCGTTAGTACTGACATTTATTCGTTATCAATCCATACATTGACTGCCATGACGATCATCGAATACTGGTGGTACTAACTCATTTAAAGACGATTATTGCAAAATAAATATTAGTATGTAACCATTTTTCGTAACGAAAACAAATAGATAATAGTATAAAGTAAGGACTTCACTATTGTATTAATAATTGTTAGTAATAACATTTACCTCTGCCACGAATAAAATAAATGATACTTAATGGTATGAGGTGTTTTGTAATTGAAGAAATAAATGGGAGAAAGTAATTCTTTGCACTTTAAAAAACGCGACTTTTAAAAATACATACACATTTGCTTTTGTTTTTCGTCAAACTTAAAAAATATAAAATAATTGATAAATCACTTTTGTAGCTTATGATCTTGGTTTGAAAATAGAAAAGATTCTTTATTCCAATCCAATTATTGAATACGAAATTACTTTGATAATAATTGATTACTTTATTCACTACACAAACTGACATTTACAAATCTATATAACAATATTTATACGAATGATCTTAGGGTGAAAGAGGTGATGTAGGGTTCTATGGGCCCGATGGATTCCCAGGATTATCGGGATTGCCAGGTCTCCCTGGTAACCGAGGACCTCCAGGTTTACCAGGTAAAAATAAAACGCTCAGTCGTTAACAAAATTACGGATGAATGTTCTTAATATTATTTTAATGTGAATATAATCTTAATACAATGAAATATAATACTTCAGGATTAGATGGAGGATACGCTGAGCCAGGCGAAGATGGACGACCCGGATTGGATGGTACACCTGGCACCCCAGGTATCCCTGGACAAAAGGGCGCTCCTGGAGAATATGGACCAAACGGTCCCAAAGGAATTCGTGGAGAGCCCGGTTTCAGTTTCCGTGGCCCGAAAGGACTTCCTGGAAATCAAGGTCAGTATTTTTTATCCCTATCTTAACACTAGGTTTACGAACGTTTATTGTACAGTTTATTCTGTTATTCCTGGCAAAATGTATATTCGTCCGTTCAGACCTTAGAAATTACGGATTTTAACACTTAACGGACCGGTATACCAAAATATAAATTATTACTTCCTTATTATGCTTTACATATTTTGTTAATTAGGTCCAAAAGGTTTCGCGGGTTATCCTGGAGCTCCAGGTTTGCAAGGATTACCAACCCTCCCTGGACTACCAGGGCGAAAAGGATATCCAGGAGACACCGGTTTACCTGGTATCACTATCAAAGGACAGTCTGGAGAACCAGGATTGCCCGGAGTTAATGGAAGATTAGGACGCAAAGGTGAAAGGGGTGATTCAGGTCTCCCTGGATTTATGGGGCTGCCCGGAGTCAAAGGAGAACGTGGTGATCATGGAGAACCTGGTTTACCTGGACTGGACGGACCTTCAGGCCCACAAGTCAGTCCTTTTTGTATACCCTTTGCTTTATAATAAAGTAGTAAATGGAATATGCAGCTAAAACATTCATACCTCCGATTAGGAATTAAAAGATATTTAAAAATATTTTATTCTTGCAATATATATATTGGAGTTATATACACAATATTAATTTACTATTTAAAAGTGTAAACAATTTCTAAACTGATGTAATATTTATTCTTTATGTCATTAATAGAATTATGTTTTAAATTACATAAAATTAATTACTACTCGCATACACATTAGATAACACATTGAACAATTTAATTTATTTTGAATATACAATAACATAAAAATCAGTAATTCTTATGTATCAAAATTAATCGCTACTATAGAACAAAATATTTACATTATAAAAAGTTGAAAAGTTTGTATTGAGTAGAAAATTATTTATAAATTATATCAATTACTTTGTAATTCTATTCCTTATTTTTAAATTTCCCATTTGAGTACAAAATAATATTTTTATAATGTAATTTCAAAAATCAACAACTAAATTGAATGTTCTTTATTCGAATTATTGAATTAATTGTAAAGATAAAAACATAATGTTATCAGACTTCATTAATTTTTCTATGTTTCACACATTTCTTAATTTATTATATATTTATTAGTGTTTTCTCAATCCTCCATACTCAACAGGGACCAAAAGGAGATCGCGGTATAAATCCATTCTCGCCAATTCCCAGAAAAGGAATGCCCGGTGATATAGGACCCATAGGATTACCAGGTACAATAAGTTATTCCAACAATTGTACAAATAAAACAAAATCACTTTGATAAAATGACTTATTACGTTTAAGTTACTGCTTTAAAAATTCTATTTAACCCTTGAGTGGTCACACGGATAATAGTTCTTATCTATCAAATTGAAAACATGAGACATCTTTTTTCTGTTGGTGGGTTCGGGTCTGTATTATAAGGTTCATTTTAGAGGGTATACTCATTATCTTTGTTTAATCTCAAGTTGAAAACGCTTAAAGACGTCACAGTAGTATTAAGAGTACATGATGTCCAAGTATCGTGTTTAATTGGAAAACTAACAGTGCATGACAATTGTCATCCACGTGACCGCTCACATTAAAAATGTGTACGTGACTACTCGAGGATTAACTCAATAAAATTGATAATTTAATTTTAAATTCAAATCTAATCAATACGACTCTTTTTATAGGTTTCCCTGGGCTGCAAGGAATATTGGGTGAACCTGGTAGAGACGGATTTCCTGGAAGGCCAGGAGAAGAAGGAATGATGGGTTTACCAGGACCTCAAGGACCAGAAGGTAAAGAAGGTCCTGAAGGTTATCCTGGTCTTCCTGGTCCAGTTGGTCGACAAGGACTTCCAGGTATAGTAACTATTAATTGATAAAATAGATTTTTGTTGCGACAATAAGTTTCAGTTACGCTGTGTTTGCATAACAATTTTATTCTGTAGTCGGTAAAAAGATCAATACAATTAAAAATTTATATTCATAGATATTAAACGTATTTCTACAAAATATCTACGTATTTCTAGGATATCCTGGGGTAGCAGGACTTCCAGCGGCTCCGGGTCCAGGTCCACGAAACAGAGGTTTCCATTTTGCTCGACACTCGCAATCCGAAATGATACCCATGTGTCCGAAGAACACGGTGAAACTCTGGGACGGTTTCTCGCTATTGCACATAATGGGCAATGGACATGCATACGGACAAGATCTTGGTATGAAAACCATCCTTTAATGTTTCACGATTAATTAGAACAGGTGTAATTAACTCCTTGCCCTATGATTTATTTTTCATCTGTGATAGATACAACAACTTTGTCAGTAATAATTTAGTAGAAAAGGAGGACCATTCTATGCGTTTTCTATATCTACGTTTGCACTACAGAATAATAATTAATAACGGAAGAATAATATTTCATTTGAATTCAAAAGAATTGAGTAATGTTTATGTTCGTTAAATCCTATTTAAATTGTTCACCACGAGTCTCACACGTTATTGTAAGGCAAGGGGTTAAAGATCTAAAAATTCCAATCTCTTAATGATAAAACAATGTTTTAATCGTGTATTATATAACGCACAGCCGTGCAGTGCAAAAAGTGACAGGTCCAGAGTTCACTTTTTATAGAACCTTTTTATACAACTTTTATACAACGACAGGTCAACATTTTCAGAGTAACATATTTCTTATTGATAAATATTTGTGCATAAATAACATAAATAATAAAAATTGAATATTCCTTTCAAATATTCATGAATAACGTCGAATACTATTAAAGTACCGTGTGCTTTTAGTTCGCTTGGGAAAAATATTGAATACGTGTACTGATGCACCGAATATATTAAATATTGAATATTTTTGAATATTTATTGTATGAAGATTTTTAATATTGTTAAACCGATTTCTTTTACCAGGTGCCGCGGGCAGCTGTGTCAGAAAATTCTCCACCATGCCTTTCATGTTCTGCAACATTAACAACGTGTGCGATTACGCGAACCGTAATGACTACAGCTACTGGTTAAGTACCACAGAACCCATGCCTATGTCTATGGCGCCAATACCTTCACCGGAAGTCGGAAGATACATCTCCAGGTGCTCCGTTTGCGAAGCACCGACTCGAATGATCGCAGTGCACAGCCAGACTATGTCTATACCCGAATGTCCGGGTGGTTGGGAAGAAGCTTGGATTGGTTACAGTTTCCTCATGGTACGTACACTTTCTACCTTATAATCATTACAACATCATCAAAATCATCGTGCATAAGCAACGTTTCAACCGGAACAATGAAACTGTTAACTCTCATAAATCAAAGTTATTTATTGAACATTATTTTCAAATCATTTCTTTCCTGTTTTAAGTTAACTTTGTACATTAATACTTGAACTACGTTAGAAGAATTCAGTTTCAACGGGTACAAATATTCTATTCGATTAATAAAAGTTCTTAAGGATCCGTACACTTTCGAACAGATATTAAAGTTGAAATATAAAAGTTGGGAATATTTTGTTAATTACCATTATTTAAGAAACCGAAGACAGAGATAAATATAGAAGACTTCTATAGTATGCTAGACCAGATAAAACTTCACTTAGCATCTTAAGGTTTTAACTTTAGATATTATCTACATATCCCAAAGCGTTTCCAGCAGATCTGTTTATCACGATTTTAACTTTTCTAGAACGGAATAAATGTTCCCATGCAAGTAGAACTTTTTTCAACTTTCAAGGAAATAAAAATTTCTTATTTTAGTTAATATATTGCATTTTGTAATTGTTTCCCCAAAACGGAAAAGACAGTACATTACAGTTATTTTATAATTAATTCAATATTTTAACAGTTTCATTCGATATATTCAGCGCCGTATGAATTTACCAAATTTGGTACACGATGAAACAGTTTTCCACGCCAGGTGACTTTTATAATAATTTCTACTAAGAATTTAAATAGATATATATCGCACTTTCTTAAAATGTCTAAACTCAAAGCTGGAACTAATTACGTAGTCCCGGTCTACGTTGAAAATGTTCTCGAGAAAACCTGATGATTAGAAAAATTTGTATAGAGTAACGTCAAGGTAGCAATATATCGTTTCATTGTATCCTATATTAGAACCAATTGTAGTAACAATGAATTTAACTCTTTGCGCTCGTATGTCATGCTGGAGATGGCAATACAAATTTGTTATTGAACGTTGGAAATTGTTTTAAAAAGTACCACACTTCAAAAGATTATGAAAATGAAATCTCATTATAATAATAATAAATAAAATAAATATAGAACGTTGCATTCTACTGCTGTAAATTACTTTATTTCATTTCCCTAAAAATGAATACAAGTTTACACTCAACATTGAAAATAAATCGAGTGCAAAGGGTTAAACTAAAAATGAACATAGACTTGTAATTAACTCACTTTCAATCGCCGTGGGTGAAACACTTCGAAGCTGAAAATATTTATTGGTGTTCTCGTGCGATGCAAAATAGCAGAAAAACCCTAAACATCTTAAAAGGTTAGTAACTGGTGTAGAAACTTGAAACTAGAATATACCCCGATCTAAAGTTGTAATTGAACCGCGGTACGGGAACAAAACTGGGATGGAAAGCTACTGAGGTACCGAGTAGGTATATACCGCGCACGTCATATTTTGTTTCATATACACGTGTATTTTACATTATGCAGCTACGAAACATTATTGGCTTTCTGTCAACCCTTGTTATCAGTAAAGTGTTATTGGATCGCAAACAGCGTTTAACACACTCCTATTAGAGCTGAATGCGCTAATAATTTTCTTTTAATACATATTCTCAAAAATAGTCAGACTAAGCTAAACAAGTTTCTTTTCATTTCTCACGATACGTAAAAACTTGATTGTCTATCGATATCTATTTTTCGAATATTGCAAAAATGCACGTCAGGTGCTATAGAAAATATCGTTTAATAAAAGCATTAAACTTTATGGAAGTTCTCACTCTTAGATTATGCTGTTACTTCAGAAACGTATACTAAACTGCTACCTATGTTTAATTTTGTCCGACTGATTAATTTTGTTCGACTTTGAATTTCGTGTCCTGATTATATAAGCTTATGCCTACAAAATGGTAATTTTTCACGGAAGAAATTTAGATAAAAATTTCAATTTTTAAACATTTCTCGAAACGCAAACAATTCGAGAAAAATCAAAGACTTCGGAGCTATTAATTTGGAGTATTTAAGTAATGTTTATCGAAGAAAACGGTCCTTGTTATAATTTATAGTGTTTGCAATTTGAGCAAGTACAATTTACAGAAAATAATGGAGCATATAATTTGTTAAAATTGTTTAAGACTTGATACCAGAGTCAAATTTGCATAAACAAAATATTTACGATTGTGGTTAACTCTCTGTCCTGTGCAGCAAGGGAAAAATTCACACAGAAAGAAAAATTTGGACTATTCAAATCATAATATCAATTCTTTCTAATAATATTACGTTCCCTCTTCAATAAACAGCAGACTTTGAGAATATTTAGTCTGCAGACTCTAATTGATCATTGCGTTCCCTCGTTTTGAACGTTTCAAATTTGTACGTTCGTGACTACGTTAAAAGAAGAGTTTATGCTAATAATGTAATAATGTAAATAATGTAAATAATGTACCAGAAATACTGTTTAACAAAGGTGACGTACAATAGTGATGGACATTTTTTTAAACGTAAATGTAAGAACATTTTTAAAATATATCTTCTTTCAATAGTAATCAAACAAATGTTTATCGATAAATGATAAAGTTTTGAAGAAACAAATTAGAACATGGCATGCATCATTCTACACTTGAATGCAGAATGTAGAATGTAATGAACATGCAACAATTCGTTAGTTTTTATGAAAATTAAAAATTCTAATGGAAACAAATTTTAAATATCAAATTGATTGATAATCTCATGAATAAGACCAACGTGTTTGTAGTATAGGTACAGAACTAGTCAAAATAATCATAAAGATTTCACTATATGGTTAACAATTCATAATAACTATTGAGAACACTTCATTCTTGTTCTTAAAAATAAATTTACAAGAAAATTATTGGCACGCACGAAACTCCGCAGTCTATTCATAAAGCTACATCTATTTTTATTCCATTGTTCCTTTCAGCGCTTAATCCATAAAAGCCAGAGAATTAAACAGATATATAGACTATCAGTATTACTGTACTATCTTTCGTTTTTTTTCATAATTTTTCTAAAAACCGAAAAACGAAAATACCAGTATAATGTGATGCCACCACCGGTATATTCACCAATGTGTTCACCGGTATTTATCAGTCATTTATTCGGTTTTTCTGTTTCTACTACAATTTCCAAAATATTTTTATGCAGTAGCTTAGCGATTTAAAATCGGGATTATTTTATCATCGATATTATACTATATAGTATCGCAATCACTATTATACCAAACCAAAGTAACACCAGTATTCTTCTGATTAAACGATGATTACTTGAAAACATTTCTATATTATAAATAATCCTATCTAATGTGGTGACGTTCATCTGGATGAACGTGCAATAATAATAAAATAATTCAATCAAATGATTTAATATTATATTTTTCCCATTCTGTGTATTTTGCTGTATGAAATCGTGCAGCAGTCAACGTATTAATATTTAACTAAATCGCTTAATCCGAATTGAAAATTTGCAGCACCGTGATGCGGGCGCAGAAGGAGGCGGTCAGTCGCTGATCTCGCCCGGCTCCTGTCTCGAAGAGTTCCGCGCGAGACCGTTCATCGAGTGCCGCGGTCTCGGCACTTGCAACTACTTCTCCACTGCCACGTCCTACTGGCTGGCAACGATCGAGGACTACGAGATGTTCCGCAAGCCGGCACAGCAGACCCTGAAAGCGGACCACACGTCGCGAGTGAGTCGCTGCGCGGTCTGTCTTCGCCGTCGCGTCATGGAGAATCCGCACGCCAGAACGCTGCCACCTTACTTGCTGAACGGCCAGAGGGAGAGTCCCGGTAACATTCAATATCCTCCGCAGCATTACACGAACTACCCGGGTCGCCAAAGGCAACACGCACCTGGCAGAGGAAGAAACCCGAACAGACGCGTGCCCCCTCATTACCAGAGGAGGGGCAGAAGCCGCAGACCGGAAAGGATATCGCAAATCCCAGAAAAGTAAACCCCAGTGACATAGAGGTCAGCGTTTTGTACGTGTATTAAACGAATTCGTGCACCCTACGCTACAACGTACATCAATACATTTGAAACCGGTGGCTATCGCGCGGGTATTGTAAAATCTGTGTATAGCCGGTGACTTTAGACGATAATTAAGGAATTGGTAAAATTAGAAGAGTGTTTGCAGTAAACTTGTGCATTTTAATTTGTGTAATTTTCTATGCACACGTACGATTCAAAAATACAATGCTGATTTCACTGTTTGATTGTCCACGCGGTTTTATCGCTGATAACAATAAATCGCAAGTAGGAATGATAATAAGAAAGCAAGCGGATACTATTATACGAGAGGGTGAAGTTTCATTCAAAGAATTGTTTTGAAACTCTAACTCGTTTTACTATTGTGCCATGAATAGTATTTAACATTTTATTATGAGAAAGCATAAATATCTTAATTCTGTTGAATCAAAATAAAGGGTCAACCGGTTAATTTTTATTACAAGACCTGAAATGTTTAAATTCCTAGATATCCAAATATTAAAAATTACACAAATGAAAGCAAAGATACATTAATGCACATGCAACAGAAAATTACCGATTGGATTGAGCATCTTACAGCCCAAGCAAATGAAGGCTTGCCATCAAATTTTTCGAAATATTTATAGTATACTTATAATTTTAGAATCCGAATGATCGAGTTCCAATTGAACCAAGCCTCTGAACGATCTGAATCGTAGGAAATAGCGACTCTGTATTATCGGATATTAGAGAATAGTAGCTTCTAATACACGGATACGTTAATTACCAAAAGGTCCACGGATTGAAATACGATTAGGTTTAATACACGTGCAACAGAGACCTCCACAATGGTGCGACGTAGAGAGGCAACGATTGTGTGTATATAATATGTAACGAGATATTCGAAGAACCTGTTAGATAAGTTATCGAATCTCTTTCTCGTGGCGTACGCAATAACAACGGCTACCGTGCAGCTGGGGTCTGAGATGATGCTTGATGCCAAAAAGTGCGGGGACCAGCGTCCTCGTCGCAAACTGCCAATCAACGTCCGCCCCCGGGCGCGACGAACTCGCGGAACGATGAATAGTTCAATCACTGATTACTCCGTATAATATATCGCTATTGTAACTATCTATGTATTTTGCATTAAATAAAGGTCTTTCATAGAAACCACTGGAAGCTGTGGTGCAGACCCTTATTCCTGAGGATTGTTGAAAGAGACCTTCGAAAGATCGACACCGCAGATATCTTTTATGAACACGTTTTCGTGCACGGACTAAGAAAAGCGATGAACCCCTTGTCCTATGATTTATTTCTTAACTGTAATCGATACTGTTGCTTTATCTATTACTACTACTACTATACTATTACATTATGTTTATTCCAAAGGTTAATGATTGATAATAGAAAATTATTACTTCATTTATATTTGAAAAAAGTAAATAACGCTGAATTATGTCAAATTCAGTTTAAAATTTTCGTCACGAGGCTCAGTCGATATTGTAGGTCAAGGGGCTAATAGTCGATTATGAAGGATAATGAAAATGTCGTTATACACATTCATAAAAAATATACTTTAGCACATTATTGACCGGTCAAGAGTTAACTTGTGCTTGCACGTGCATTAGCTATTTCAATTTTTGAAACGCAAGGCAGTATTGAATATTGCAGAAGTAAAATATTAAAAGTTATATGGAAGATATATTCAAAGTTTCGTTCAAATTTGTTATATCTAAATAAAGTATATTAAAGTTTATTTAGATGGTTTCTCTTTCATACTTAATTACCGAATAATAACCGGTGACATGGGACAGCTCCTGCGTAAAACTGCCGGTCAACAATGTGTTAATACACTATGTCATTGGATACTTGCATTAGTAAGTGCCAAATCAGAACACATAGATATTACGAGCGGATTTGAAAATATTTGATAATACTTACATACTGCGATTAACGTGTTAAAACCAATAAAGCGAAACATTAATTTTCTATTGAGTTTTTCTGTTTATAAGTTAGTGTAGAAAATTCTGAATTTACATGAACATCCGTAATCTGTATGGCAACTTCTAATCAGTCCTCCTATATAGACTTAGATAACGTAGATAATGTGCGTACCGTATTGTGTGTTATCGACTTCTTTTTCGGGTAAATGCTTTTCTTTATGTAAAAATGTTCTGTTTACAACAAGTTTATATAATTTTCAAATATTTTTTCGCATATTTCAGTCAAAAACATCTTTTACTTACCACCTTCACAAGGTCGTTATTTTATGAATACATTTTCTATTCGATGACTATTTACTGAAAGAAAGCAAGATATTAATTCGATTGAATTAAAAAAATTATTGTACTGCATGGTCTTTGATTAAAAATTTCCTGAATGTACCAAGGATTGAAATTTTAACCACCGTGCATTAAACGCTTTTTTAATTAAAATTCATTTATTAGAATGTAATACACGAAGTGATTAATTTTATACATTAGAATATTAATAGCTCTCTACCAATTAGTATTTAATAATTTGTCACTTTTCTCACATTAAATGAAGATCTTCACTTTACTATTTAAATAATCTAACCCGTTTTGCGATGAAATTAATTAAATATTACTTAGTGGCAATTATGGCAGACAATACTTTATGCCGGTTAATATTAAACTTCATTTTAAATCAACTGCAAATTAACAGAATCACTTCTTATTATTCACGATCTGATGAAAATATTACAAACTTACTGCCTAAACTGCATCTAATCTGAATAATTTACATTAATCTATGAAATTTTCATCTTATCCATAATGTAATGCAATGCTATAAAATTCAATACTCCGCGTACAACGGTCTAAAGTAAATAACACGAGAGGAAGTATTATTAATACGATATTTTATTTATGTTAGTGAAGATTTATCAATAGAAACCGCTGTTTGAACAAGCTATATTTCATAGTTCAACCAAGATCGACGTATACACCGCGAATAACCACGACCTTTGATCGCGCGAAGGCTTAACAAAGAGCACGAGTTCAGATAACTGGAGCTGACATGTGTGCTGGAAATCGAACACGCATCTGCATAAAAGCTTCCACTTACTTTCCCAGATCTTCCAATGCAATTGCAAGGAAAAAGAATTTGCATTTTTCTCTAGTCTCGGATGTTTGTCCGCGTGTTTGAAAACGTGCACATGAAAGAGGCTTTCAAGCTTCTCTTTCGATAGACAGAGCGATAGAAAAAAGGAATGGGAATAAATAAGAGCAAAATTTTAATACCTTCTATTTTACTCCTTTTGACAGTATAAAGTTCTAACCAATCCTTTCATGCACAGATCGTTCTTATAATTATACGTTCACAGCCAATCGAAATATAACAGAATAACTGCCAGTTAAGTATAGCGTGCTTAAATGAAAGTAAAATAACATATGATTACATAGTATGATACCTGCTACGTGAGAATAATATTTTATTGAGTTTTATTTAAATGTTATTATAAGATAGATCAATGTTATCATGTCAATTCCATGCTTGACACATATTATATAGAATTGCAATATTCTGTTTAATACTTAAATCGTTTGCAGACTTATATTTATATACTGTGTATCATCATTTTACGTAATAAAATATATGAATTAATTATTAAAAATTTACTTATTTTTGTGGAATGTATGAAACCCCTTATTACTTTTAACAGAACAAAAATACTACACAAATATTATATTTATTTTAAACATGGCTAAAATTAAAGTCTCTGAATGAAACAAAAAAGAATATAATACATTCAAAGTTTGAAAGTTAGCATTAAATATACAACTTTTAATGAAATTTATTTAAATGAAAATTAGATGACTTATGTACTGTTTATAACATTCTATGTAAGTACACATCAAAGTAAAAACTTATTAAAAGTTGTAGTAATTTTGAGGTTTATATCAGAGGTGCAGTGGGCAGAAACAGTAAAATTACTATGGAAAATAAGGAGTACGTTTATTATGATACGGTTTAAAATACAAGATCTATTCTACGCAATGGTTCGACTGTGACTGGGTGCAGCCCCGCTTTCGCCAGCGATGGGAGACTTAATTTATGGTCCACCATCGGGCCACGTGCTTTAAGCACTTCTCAAAAACAGTCTCATATTGCGCCAGGCGCTCGAACCGAATCTCCTATTACAACTTCGGAGAGATCGCCTCCTAGCACGATAAAAGTTGTAGTAATAATTATTATTGTTATACAACATAATACACGAAAAGAAATTTTCTACAATAACTATCACAACAATAAAAATTTTAATTCACTATAGTATGGGCATCTTTTTTGATACAGTAAAATAATAAAACGTTCTCTAAAAATGCGCAAAGAAAATGCCGTAACCAATTTTATCCAAAGGAAAAACTGTGACAAGAAAAACTGAATTACGTGCCTAAACTATACAATAACGTTTATATTTTAGAATACTATCATTCTTGCCGCAAAAGCCAAAATTTGATCTCCCATCTAAATTTAGTAAGTACATTTTATCTACACATTATATACAGAGTATATATGATATGGTAAATATATTATATACATTTAATGACAGATTAGAATACTCAAAAATCTACGATTAACAGAATTAAAAGTAACAAATCAAAGTTATATAGAATTTCGAAATAAGTTAAGTTACGAAAATAATAATCGTTGCAGAAGTTTGAATTTGATAAATGATTATAAATTAAATTGAACAAAATAGTGGGAAGTAGAGTAAAACGAAACAATAATGTTTTTCATAGACAAAGAGCTCGTATCGAGTTCACATTGCATGACATAGTTCTAATAAGTTCTCGATGTAATTTGTGAATGACTGCAAAGTAGTGCATGAATTATTTTTCAATTAAGAGCGTTAAAAATATATTCAGTGACAAATTTTTGATCTTATACAGCTGTTTGAAGTATTCTTTTTACGTTTCGGTTAAAAAATTGAACAAGATGACTATAGTACTAGATTCTACGGAACGTAAGCTGTATTTTGGACACTTAAGTTATTTCTTTACGTCATGACAAACTGTAAATTTTAAACGCTTTCCTAAATTATGATGTGCGGAGCAAAA